GACGTCGTCGTGATTATCACCGTCACGTCGCTAGTCGTCTGCAACAGGCCAGAGTCGAAGTCTTTGTCTTTGGGGGGGAAATGTTGAATTTAGTAAACCTACCATAATATTGTGCTTGTTTTATCTGGTAAAGTATGGGAGAGTATTTTAATTTACAGTCCAAGCCAATAATTTCACTTAATTTCAGTGTTACGTGTTTGTCTAGTCCAGATAGACGGGAGGAAGGGGGTGTGGCATGCTAGGGAAACGGTGAAATAAAGTTACCTTTTTCTACTGTCCCGACTTAAGAGCAAGAAATTGCAGTTTGGGGACCACATTCTGCTTGGGGACAAAGGATGACAGTTTTGAGAATGCAGTAATCACTTGTTTCTTGAAAGTAAAGACGTAAATCTTGGTGAAAGAATGCATTCCTCCATCTGCATTTTAATCATTCATTAACCCCTTGTCAGTCTGCCTTGGTGATGGACTGCTGGCACAGCGTGTGCCTGTGCGCCTACGTAGATGCCTTTCGAGTTGGGCGTGATCAGTTACCTGTGGAGTTTTCAGATTTGTAGTCTCTGTAAAACTGTTGCTCAGGAAAATAAGGAAGCTGTTTTCCATATAGAACTATAAATAGATGTTTAAAAAAACCAGAATGCAACTGAGCAAATTTTAAAGATCTTATTGGCTTTAACAATTCATGAATCGGGCAGCATCCCATCCAGCAGGTAGAGAGATGAGCTGAGGAGCTGTAAAAGTGGAAGACTTTTCTAGGCAGAAGGGGGTGGGACGTGGGAGTTACACTAGCAAGGAGGAGATCACTAGTGGCCAGGTGAGCATCCGTTAGTGGACGGCAGGGGCCTGTCAGGCAGATTGCCTCACTAGCGCTGACCAGGTGATTCCAGACTGACCTAAGTTTCTCCTCCCAGGAGAGGTGGATTGAGGTACTGAGTCTGATGACCTGGGGCTTAGCCCAGGTGATCCCAGTTTAGCCTGTTGTCTCTTTTAACAAAGCCTTAACAGGTACCTATAGTACCAAGAGCACCTCCTAAGCCAAATTTTCATTACTTTTGGATTACACATGCCACAAACTCTTCTACTACTGCAGTTTATTCTCACTTGTGTTATTTGGGGTATGGTAGTTGGGAGCCACTAAAGAATAATTTTATAAACCCTAGGAGGGTTTTCTCTGAATGGTAGGTGAGGTTTTTGTACGTTAGTGATGCACTGAAATGTGTCTGTGTCTATGTCCAGGAGAACTAAGACACCTAGGAAACTACCAGTGAAAAAAGGATCCCAGACAAGTCTGAAGGACCCCGTCGGGGTAAGGGCTCCCTGTGAACGTGTGTGTGTGCTCTCTTTAATCCTTTTATGTCTTGTACATGTGCTTGGAAGGGAGGGTGATGTGGAAATGGAATCAAAGAACATTGAGCTAAAAGGCCTGCACTAAATTCCGGAGGCCTGGCTCCAGCTTTGAGATCTTGTTTCTATGCAGGGTTCATTGGTCCAGTAAAAGGAAGTCTTTGGTTGTCACCTGCATACTTCTGTGACTGCTTATAATGTGGAAAGTTAGATGATGCAGCATATTCTTTGACTGTCTTGGAGATTCGTTCATCCTCTCTGGGCTGTGGGGAACCTGCTTGGATGAACACCCTCTCCTGTCCAGGACAGTTGTCTAGTGGCTCAGGGCATGCTTCTTGAGGAGAGCCCAGACTCCATGCTCCTGGGGACCACGTTTCACAGAGACTCTGGCACAGAACAGTTTAACTCATATCATGACTACTCAGTCACATGTGCTCCACTAGTTTCAGGCTTGGGGACTTTAAAAAGCAAATGGCAAACAGAAGAAGGCTGGTCTGCCCTGGGGTCCTCCGGGCCTCCCCTCACTCACACTGAAGTATGTCTGGGCTGCGCTGAGGGAGCCAGGTGCGCCGCACACACAGCTGAACAGGTCTCCTCCACTCTCACTGATGAAGAAGACTGCACCGCACGGCAGACCTGCCCCTTACTCATTAGGTGTTAAGCTGTCAAGTTTTAACTGACATCCAGTTCCAAAGAATCCTAACAGCTTTTCAAGTAATTCTCATTGTGTGATACGTTACTGATTTTTAGAGAGAGTTTTAATTTTATGTGCGTTTAAAATTATCTCATATCTAACACCTGTTTGCATTTGACCATGAGCAAATTGGGTAGCAGGTTTTGGCTTTCATTGCTCTAAGCTTATATGTAGATCTCTTCAATTTAGAGACCAAATGTTTGTTGAATGAATGAATGAAGAGTCGGAGAAAGTCAACCTTTGCTCCTGGAGCACCTTCTTGTATTTTCAGGTGTACTGTAGGGTGCGCCCGCTGAGCATTCCCGACCAAGAGTGCTGCATAGAGGTGATCAGTAGCACAACCGTTCAGCTTCACACCCCTGAGGGCTACAGACTCAACCGAAATGGAGACTATAAGGAGGTAATTCCTGTTGGAACCAACTGTTGTCACTTGATAGGCTCTTTGCTGAATGGTTCTTCCACTTTTTAAATTTAACAAAATTCGTGTGCTTCCACTTTTTTGAAAGACTGACTTCCTTCACTGTAACTCCCATATCTAAAGTGTTTCTAATTTCTGGGTCGTGCAGACACACCTTTGGTGTTCTGGGGTAGAAGACTGCTTTCAGAGGACTTCCTGCACTGGATATTTACTGCTTCTTAGAGCATATGTCAGGAATAGCTTGTTGTGGAATGACATGTGACTGCTAGTCAGTTACATACGTATGTAGTTTCATATATGGAGACAGAAATCACATTTAATAGGCACTTCACACACGTATCAACCTCTGATGAAGTGTTTTTATTTGTAGTAAAATGTTAAGCAAAAAGAGTTCAATTCAACAAACATGTGCTAAGCCGGAGGGTGGGAGGAGATTTTCAAAAATGAGTGAGACACAGTCCTTCCTTGCCT